AAAAAAAAAAAAAAGAAAGTGGGGTAGAAGCTTAGGCAGTGAGTAGGAGGAATTGGGGGTTTTTAATTAGGGATTTAGAATAAGAATCCAGGCCTGGCATACTCAAGGAGCATCAGTGACAGGATGACCAGACTGCAGTGAGTCATGAATGAGATAAGAAGCCATTAGAATCTTTGCTTGGAGGAGCAACCTGATATAAATCATGTTTTAAAGGGATGGTTCCATTAGCATGTGGCAAACAGACTGTGGGGGTACCAAGACAAAGAGTTGAGATAGGAATATATTGCCAAAGTGCAGGCAGAGGACTGGTGGTGGTTTAGCCGAGAGTGGTAATGGTAGAAATGGGAAGGGGTTGTTGGTTTCTTGGCTGGATGTAGGGTGTAAGATAAAGGAGTCAAGGATGAATAAGATTTTTGACCTGAGCAACTGGAAGGATGGGGTTGCCATTTTCTGAGCTGGGAGAGACTATAGGAAAATGGGGATGGGTAAGTATAGAGGAAATCAATTCACAAAATCTGAAATTTAAATTTGGACATGTGAAGCTAAATCTTCAGAGGGGCTGTTAAATAGGTATCTGGGGATAGAAATCTAGAGTTCAGAGGAGAGATCAACACAGGAGATATAAATTTGGTTTAACAATCTATAGATAGTATTTAAAGTTTTGAGAGTAGATGGGAACATGTGGGAATGAATGTAGATAGAGAAGAGAAGAGATCCAAGGACTGGTCATGGGCCCTCCAGCACTTGGTGGATTGTATGATGAAGGGGACACAACAAAGGAGACTGAGAAGTAGTAGGCAGAGAATCAAGAGGAAGTGGTTCCTGGAAGACAAGTGAAGAAGTATCTCAAGGAGGGCATGGTCCTCTGGTTTCAATGCTGCTGATGGTTTGAGTGGTGAAAAGTGGTCATTAGATTTGACAACATGGAAGTCACTGGTGACCTCAACAAGAGCCATGTGTACACACACATACACACACACACACACACACACACACACCACTCAGAGTAAAACATGGAAAAAATCTTAACTACTAATGAACTGGGGTGAAGGGAATATGGGATATCTTTTTATTATTGTAACTTTTCTGTAAGTCTGAAATTACTTTAAGATAAAAAGCATAAAAAAGAGACAATGGTAAGAAAGAAAATGAAGACAGAGCACATCGGCAAGATTTTTGAAAATGAGGTCCATGGAGATGGAGCAATAGAGTGGTATGTGTGATTAAAGGAGTTTCTTTTTAAAGAATTATTTATTTGGGAGGGGCAGAGGGAGCAGGAGAGAGAAATTTAAGCAGACTCCGCTGACTCGGGGCTCAATCTCACAACCCTGAGATCATGACCTGAGCTGAAACCAACTGTGCCACCCAGGTGCCCTAAGGAAGTTTTTCTTAAAGATGGGAGAGATTGTATGTATGTATATATGTATGTATGTACATATATTATATGCTGTTGGAAAAGATCTCATGAACAGGGCAATATTCATGATGCCAAAGAGAAAGCAGTTGTTAGAGGTGTGCCTGTGATTTTTTTTTTTTTTT